TGGGTATAAGTGAAGTGGCTTTAAGGGCTATGGGGGGTTTGATGCAGGCAGAGGGAGAAATTAGGGGGCACTATTTTGGAGTGTGAGATTTGGCAAGCGTTGTTGGGTGTCAGCTCGGGTAAAGCATAGATGGTCTGCCGAACGATTCCTATGCCACGAATTGGGGGGTATTAAAGGAGTTTTTGGTAAGGTTGTTTAATGTTTTAAAAAGGGACAGGGTGATGGGGGAATTGCAATGGACAGCAGTCATGGTGTTGGTGCCAGGGGCCCAACAGTCTACAGCACAGGATTATAGGGCTATATAGCTTATTTGCGGTGATTATGAGTTATCTGCGAGAATTATGGGGAATCGATTGAAAAAGGTGATTGATAAGGTCATAGACAGGGGACAATACGAGTTACTTGGTAGGTCTATATATGAGCGGCATGGGCTGATACGGGGTTTTATAGAGAAGTGGCAGGAGTCGGGTGGAGGAGGAGTCATAGCATTGGATTGGCAGGCAGCATAGGATAATGTCAAAAGGGATGCATTGTGGCATTTCATGAGATGGCAGGGGTTTAGGGAGGAAATCGTGTCTTGGGCACGGACCTTGTATAAGGGGGCATGTATGCATGTGCAGGTTAACGGGAGGGTAGGGTCAAAAGTTCAGATGGGTCGAGGATTGAGATAGGGTTGTCCACTTTCGCAATTATTGCTCGCATGTTTTCAGGATCCATTTTATAGGGCGGTTCAGCGGTGTGTGAGGGAGGGTATGGAGGTTAAGGAAAGCGACGGGTGTCCTGGCATTGGGGGTTACATAGGTGATACAATGGTCTTGGTGGGGGTGAGGATTTATGGCGGGTGGGGAGGGTTGTGGCTGTGTTTGGGGAAGCTACTGGGATAAAAATTAATGTTATAAAGATAAAGTTCATGAAACTTGGGGATTGGGTACAGGTGTTGGGGGTGATGGGGGTGGGTGGAGTGTAGTGGATCAAGTTAAGATTTGTGGGGAATCGAGGGTGACTCGTGAAGTTAATTCGATGAGAGTTGTGGATGGTGTTATGAGGAGACTCGGAGGATTTCGGCCATCGCATCTCATGTTGCATCAAAGGGTGATTGTGGCAAACGTACTATTGTATAGTAAGGTATGGCATGTGGCGGTCATGTACCCTTTGGTGCAATGTGAGGTCAAGAGATTGTTTTTTCGGTTTATATGGGGTTCGGGATGTGAATGGTTAAGTAGAGGGGTGGTTACACTACCTCTTGCCCAGGGCGGGCTAGGGCTTATACCATTGGAAAGAAGGTTGATGAGTGTGTACGTTGAAAGGAGTTTTCGGGATGAGGGGTGGGGGAGGTGGGATTGGGAGAGTGCATAGGGATATGCAACGGTAGTGGGGGGCAGGGATTTGCAGGTCTGCGAGGCCATGTTGCAGGCTTTGATGATGGCGAGGGACCTGGCTCATATTAATTTGGAGACTCTCGAGAGGGTGGGGAGGGTTGCGAGAAGTGGCTGCAGTGGAGGGGGCATACCCAGTGTATGCATGGCGCGATATTTCGGTGTGCTTAAAGAATTTACGTATACGACCAGGCATACGGGAGGTGATGTTTTAGTTTTACACAGGATTTTGCATCGAGTGTTGTTTTATTTAATCAGAGGCTCAGGGAAGGTAGGGAGTGTTGGGCGTGTGGAGAGGAGGATACGGCATTCCATGCAGTTTACTTTTGTAAACGTCTTGGGGTTGTGGGGAAGTGGTTTGGTTGAGTGATTCAATTGTATCACCTACATAACCCACAATGCCAGGACACCCATCGCTTTCCTTACCCTCCATACCCTCCCTTACCCACAGCCAAACCGCTCTATAAAATGGATCCTGAAAACATGAGAACAATAATTGCGAAAGTGGACAATCCTGCTTCAATCCTCGACCCATCTGAACTTTCGACCCTACCCTCCCATTAACCTTCACACACATACATGCCTCCTTATACAAGGTCCGTGCCCAAGACACGATTTCCTTCCCAAATCCCTTTCCACACTATCATATGATGCCTGATGCCTGTATATTTATGGACTGAATGCCACCAACTTCCCAAGAGGATCTCTACAGTGGCGTGTCTGACGACCTCTGGATGTTGTCGCTGGTTAGTGGGTTGTCGCTGGTTGCTGGATTGCCAAAACAGGTAGAGAAGGCAGAGAGCAGACAGGTATGTAGACAGCGAAGCAGTGCCTTCTGGTAGTGTTTATTGTCCCCTGTATATGACCTTATCAATCACCTTTTTCAATCGATTCCCCAAAATTTTCGCAAATAACTTATAACCACAGTACATAAGCGATATAGCCCTATAATCCTGCACTTTAACATTAAAATGGTATTAAATACCGACAGGTTGTTAGGTAAGTCACATATGCAACAGTTAGGTATCTTTATTTCGAAATAAAGATACCTAATTGTTGCATGTGTGTCTTACCTAACAATCCTGCACTGTAGACTGTTGGGCCTTTTTTGGCACCAACACCACGACCACTGTCCTTTGCAATTCCCCCATCACCCCATCCCTTTTTAAAACATTAAACAACCTTACCAAAAACTTCTTTAATACCCCCCAATTCATGCAGACCATTTATGCCTGGTGCTTTGCCTGAGCTCACACCCAACAACGCTTGCCAAATCTCCACTCCAAAATAGGGCCCCCTAATGCCTCCCTGTCCTCCCTCTTGAGCATACACTGCATCAAACCCCCCATTTCCCTTAAAGCCACTTCACTTATACCCACGCTCGCCATGTATGACCTGAACCAAGCATCGATGTATCCACCCATACCCTCTGTCGTGACCAAAACTTGACCTTCACGATACCCCTCCATCCCTACTCGCACATTCAACCCCATCATCTCTGGCCGCTCTCTGTGTCTGTCCCCTCAAAACACAAGCCGACAACTGGTCCCCTCCAGAGCACCTCCTCCATACCTCCCAGCACTCGTGCACGATCAAAATAGTCATTTTGCAAAACCAGGATACGGTCAGGGTAGCACCCACCTCCACCCCCATAGTAATCACGCAACTGCCCTTCATGATACCCAATGAGCCCATACACCAACCAATTACTCTTCCACCCATGTCGAATATAATGATCCTTAATACGTGTCTTAGCCACTGTTTCCCACCAACGAACAAAGTCCCCATCCCCACGTGCCCCTTCCCACAAACTCACCCACAATTTCACAAATGACAGCTTACCTTCCTCTCCTTGTAGCAACCATACATTCAATTTCCAATAACATATACATTCTAGGCAATCCCTCCCACCCTAAATCCACCAAGACACCCCAATGATAGGAATGCCACATCCACAACACTTACCCGTCGAACTTCGACTGTGCGAGGCACATGCAGTCTATCGAGCCTGGCCGCATACCCACGTTGTACAAATGTGCGTTCCAACCCCGCCCTAGTTAATAAATCTCCCAATACTGCAGAACAATACCCCGCTCCCCGAGGTTCCACATCCTTACGCCTGAGCACACAGTTCCAATCACCACTTATGATCGCCACCACCGGAAGGGACCTCAGATGATATACTAAAACCTCCTTCACAAACTTATTTTTCACACGACCATCCCCCTCCACCTGTCCATATACACACACATAAAGGCAGCCCTCCCCTGGCCCCAAAACCCGTCCACCGGTATCACCCTCCCCTCTCCTCCCCCCTCACAGTGCCGCACAGCAAACGGGCTAGTCTCCCTAATCATGACTGCCTCATCTCCTTTCAATCTTGTAGTATGCTTTACATACACATACCCCTCTAATGTTGGCTCACAACCTGGCTTATAATTGTCTTCCTGAACAAACACAACAACAACACTTTCTACCAGACCTCAAACCATTGATATTTATAGTCAGGCACTTAAAACGGACAATGGAGGTTTTCCTCTTGATACTGACACACTCTTCTCACTCGTTTATTTGTTTTCTCCTCCATCCCCATCCTCCCTTTAGAATTTCTCTTCACTGGCCCCAGCCCCATAAGACCACCGGGACCTCTGTGCATCATATCCACCTACGTCTTTTTACTCATTCGCTGAGCAGGCGTCAGCACATCCTCTGAGTCTGAAAGTGCTGCTGTATGATTCCGTGACCCACCATCAACCTGCATCATATCATCAGAAGGGCAGGCTTGATGTACCTCTGCCTCCATACCTCCACAGTATGTACCAGCAAGTCAGCTGCCACACCAGCCTCTGGCCCACCCTCATCCCCGACGCCTGCTGCAACAGCAGACCCAAGATCTAGTGCCGCGTCCATCACAGCACACACGCCCTGTGTCGCCAACAAATCATCCAAGACATAGGCAATCGAGGCCTTCATTCCACTGACAACCACATCTGGGACAACCTCGCCAACCGCAGGTTCTGCATCCGAGGAAGGCGATTCCCCGGGAAGCGTAGTACACTCCGATCTCCGTCATCTCAGTCCTCTCGACATCTGCACTCCACACCATGCCCAGCGAAAGCACCGATGTATAAGGTGGGTCTTGCTCCGGACTTTCCTACCTGGCCTCTGTTCGCCCTGTTCATCCCTGGTGCCCCATCGTCGAAGACACTGCGCTGCAAGATGATCATACGCACCTCACAAATGGCAGGTATACTGTTGTCCTGTGTACGTCACCATCACCTGGATCCTGAAGTCGTCCAAGATGACGTAGGAAGTACTGGATGACATTGTGTCATCTTCAAAGTGAACGTTACTTCTGGAATCCCTGCATACAGCCATTCAGACCACCTCCCAACCGTAGCCATATGTATTGTGCCATATTTGTTTAAAGCTGCACGGAGATCTGTTTCATCGGCCTCGAAAGGCACATTACAGATTTTCATCCATGTATAAAATCGTGACACATCATGGAGCTTCACAGACACTGCATTGTTAACTGTGAGATGAACATCCTGGTACCTTTTTACCATTTTCTCATAAACACCGGCATTACAGAACTTCACAAAGATTCTTGATGCTCCATTCAATGCCACACCACATATGTCCTCATTGGCAATAACATAGGTGTCACAAATAATTGCCGGCAATATCAACGTCGTAGATGGCCCCAGACACCGCCCCCCGGAGCAGTTCAATGCAGACAGTGAGACACGTCGCCTACCAGCCTGCGCCATATTGCGAAGAAAACGAATCTTGATTAATATCCTAACTACACATTTTTATTAAATTTATTTTAGTCCACCCAGTATTATCAATATCAGAAAAGACAGTTTTTCTTCCTAACATAATAAATGAAAGTAATTATTTAATACACAAAATTTTCATAGAAGCATTAATTTACGATAGCCCAACAATCGCAACCTTCTTCAGTGTTTCTTGATTCGTGGAGCAAAAGAAAACAATTACACAGAAGCATTCAGCAAGTGTTATGTTAGAGAGACATATTTTTGGACTGAATGCCACCAACTTCCCGTGAGGTTCTCTACAGTGGCGTGTCTGGCGACCTCTGGATGTTGTCGCTGGTTGGTGGGTTGTCGCTGGTTGCTGGATTGCCAAAACAGGTAGAGAAGGTGGAGAGCAGACAGGTATGTAGACAGCAAAGCAGCGCCTTCTGGTAGTGTTTATTGAGGCCCACGAAGACCACGGGGTCAATCACCAAGTGTAGATAAAACACCATGTGGATGATAAAAGATGGAATACCCCTCTTGGCGACTAGGTGTACCATCATGTGTGGACCGTCTAGCAGCAAGTTCGTCAAAACCACGACATTGATAGTGACAATGACGTGATCCTGGTTACCTAGCGACTTCTTCTTCTGGCCCGCCATCTAGCATACAAATCAATACAAGTTAAAATACATCAATTTTTTAATTAAAATAAACCCAGAAATTATAAAAAAAACTATATATTATAATAAGAATAAACTATATAGAGGTCTTTTATTTAATAAATGAGGTAAAAACCTTACTCTAGAACGTCATTGGGTGCTTAAACTCAAGAAAACGTATGATTAAGGGCCATGTCAGGAGATACTGTCTTGTTTACTGACGAACAAAACACCATCACTGATAAACATTAGAAATAATGGAAACTGCTGAGTATTGTGTTTGTCTTGTAGGTCATGAGAGTTAGACTTGATCACTGTCTAGGAGTCGCCACTACAAATGCACCGCCACTGTCACGAGTGTTAGCACGTCTGTTATCTATAAGACATCACTGTCATGAGTGTAGGTCCTGCCAAGTACCTGGGATGTAGAAACTTACCTTCACTATAATGAGTAAGTAAGCGAAGAGTGTCACCGTAAAGGTGATGATATAGTTAATACTGATCCAAATTGAGATCACTCTCGGCACACCAGCCTCATTCCAGAAGTAGTCTTTCCCTGGACCCTGCATAATAATAATAATAATAATAATAATAATAATAATATTAATAATAATAATAATAATTCTGGCCATCAGTCTATCACCTACCCCTCAACTTAGGCCATAAGCATCAACCGAACATCTATTTTTTTTATTTTATTTAAAATCCATACCATGTCATACATAAAGCCTGAAATGATGTGTAAAGCAAAGAACGCTTGTTACCTCACACACAATACTCATGACAACTGTGTTCAATAGTATAGGTAAACAAGCAAACACAATCATAAAACGTTAACTTAAACAGAAACATAATTACAGAAAAATACATGACATAAATGACGCCCTAACCATATGGAGGAATATATGATCCATATGTACATACAATTTTACGAGTGCTGCAAAAAAAAAAAAATACTGGTACGTTAAGGGTACAAACATTACCCTTAATGTGTATACATTGCCTCTACCTGAATGAAGACTAACCTATAAGTGCAAACCATACATACCCCTAACACCCACATCCATCCAAGAACACAGCTACAAGAAGGACCTGATATACACATACCACACACCTACCATACCTTACTACGCGATTACACTGTGAGGGAGAAGCCTGTCTCACACATCTAAACAAACTAGGAACATGGAACAGTATTATAAAATATCAATACACAAAAGTTTACAGAGTCATGCGGTGTTTGTTGAAACCTAAACACCATACATAAAGACAATAAAACAATAATACTTACCAAAGGAACAATAAATGCAAAATATAAGAGAGGCCAACCAGTGCACGCACTCTGAAACATATCACACATGATATGCAATACAAAACACAATGGCATGTGAGTCAACAATACGCCTACAGCCCAAACAGCTGCAACTCCAAGGCCCATCAAAATACAATATCATAGCACATAATTATACCCAAGCCCCATAATCCATGCATAGCAACCATGTGGTTGAGCGACACATAAAAACAGACAAAACACCGTGACACGCTGGATTAGATCAACATCTTCTCATTCAATCATCACCCACCACACAAACATAGCACATATAACTAGCATTGCCAATGCCCATTCACACCCCCTCACCCGGAAGACTAGACCATCGATACCCCTGACGCTACAAATTCCATAAATCTCTCATCGCAAAATCCCTGTAACCCGGCATAAATTCCTTCTCTTATCTCCCCCATATAACTCCCGATTATGGCACTTACACCTGTAAAAAGATGCAGCTAACGCCATTTTCCGTTCATCCACTCCTGCGTCCCACATTGCCCAAGAAATAAATACGAAATCTGTTGCCAAATACACTTCTGCATTCTGAACCTGTGCCTCCACACCCATGTCTAAGCTTAACAACTGCAAGACCGACAACCCCCATCCCCCACGAACCGAATCACACGACCAAACCATTCTCTCTCAACACCAAGTCATTCACAAAAATAAATGCACGAAATGCCGTGTCGTCCCCACAACATGCACCGCACTCCCACACTTCCCTGAGCCTCCTATGATATAAAACTACCCCCGATGGCAAAATCCCAAGTAATAATCGAAACATTACCTCCTGTACACATGGTCGAATATGCAGTGTCTTCAAGCACACCCAAATATCTAGCCATGCATACATAGGGTATGCCCCCTCCGCTGCAGCCACTTCCCAACTCCTCTCCACCCTCTCGAGAACCCCCACCTTCAAATGTAATGGACCCCAAACTAACATCAATGCACGCAACATGGCCTCACAATCCTGTAAATCCTTACCCCCCCCCACCACTGTCTCAAATACTCATGCACCCTACCTATCCTCCCTCCACCCCTCCCTCAGGCAGGAAACTCTTTTTCACATACACACTCATCAATCTTCATTCCAATGGAATAAGCCCCAGCCCACCCTGGCTGAGCAGAAATGTGACCACCCCTCTACTTATCCAATCACAGCCTGGACCCCAGATCAAACGAAAAAACCTACACAACAAAGGGTACATGACAGCAGCATACCATACTTTACTGAACAAAAGTACATTAGCGACGATCACTCTTTGATGCAATGTGAGATGCATCGGCCGCAATCCCTCGAGGTGTCCCAGCACATGACCCACAACACTCTCCAAATTAACCCCTCTCACCTCCCTCACATTCCTCACATACACAACCCTACAAATCTTAACTCGATCCACAAAACTCCACCCGCCCCAGTCACCCCCCCCCCACCCAAACCCAGTCCCCAGTTTCCATAAACTTCGACTTTGCCACATTAATTTTCATCCCTGTAGCCTCCCCAAACATGGCCACAACCCTCCCCACATGTCTTAAATCCTCTTCCCCTACTAGACCCATTGTATCATGAATATAACCTCAAACACCTGGACGCCCCACACGGTCCCCACCCTCCACCCCATCCCTCACACATTGCTGAACTGCCCTATAAAATGGAACCTGTAAACATGCGAACAATAATTGTGAGAGAGGACAACCCTGTCACAAACCCCTGCCCATCTGAACTTTCATCCCCACCCTTCCATTGACCTGCACACACATACACGCCCCCTGATACAAAGTCCTTACCCAAAACACGATTTCTTCCCCAAACCCCTGCCATCTCATAAACCTCCACAATGCTTCTCTTTCCACACTATCATATGCTGCCCACTAGTCCAGCGATAACACTCCTCCCGACCACTCCCACTGCTCTATAAAGCCGAATGAAAGCCAGCAGCAACATAGTTGTAGTTGGCCCAAACACAGCCCCATGGGTTTGTTTGATACACACAGTGTTGACACGGCGCCTTCCAGCCAGTGCCATATTGCGAAAACAAACTGCCACCAGTTGACGATAGGGGTCAGCTGCAGTGCGCGTCCTCTCTGACCAATGGTTGAGAGACAAATGGATCTAATTGTAGTGATTAAGATGCACGAGGTCAGTGGTCATGAAAGGTGGAACCTGTCCTGAGCTGAGTGTACTTAGGGAATTTATGTGGACTGTTGTTGGTTGTAGCTTTGCTTGCTCAGTAAGCTTTGACAAGCACTGAAATAATTTAGAAGCAGAGCTCAGATGCTTTAGCATTAATATTCGTCACTCGACCTCTGTGGTGAGCGGATGTGCGTTTGACTGCCCTCTGCTGGCCGTTTGAGCAAGCTGTGATTTTCACAACATGGTGCAGCAGGGAAGGAGGAGGATTAACACCGTTTGTATAGAGCTGGTGCATGGGGCTGTGACGGCCCAAACAGCTTCTGTTCTACTGCCAGCCATCATCAGGGATACTTATGGAGTGGCTGATGAGGAACTCTGTGGAGTAGCACTTAATTGGGCATATCGGGTCTTTGTAAAGCTTCGATTGGCAAGTGTCTATGAGCAGCTAGTGGACAAATTTCAAGATGGTTGTGTGGTTGTTAACCCGGCTGTCACAGTGTGGCTGAATAATGTGTCTCGTTACTTCACTTGGGTTAAGGTGCATAACGTGCCTTTTGAGGCTGATGAGACTGATTTTTGAGGAGTTTGCGGGAGATATGGAACTGTGTATATGGGGACCATTGGGAAGTGAACAGAGGGCACACATGCTGGCCTCCTTGAAGGCACCCTTGCACTGAAGATGACATTGAAGCATCCTATCCCATTGTACGTGGTGTTGGGTGATGTACGCAAATGATGGTCTCCTATGCAGGGCAGTGCTGCATTTGTCACTTTTGTGGGGTGTACAACCACACTGTGGCACACTGTGGTCACCGGCAGTGGACGCAGGATGTGGGGTGTCAACCCCTGGCAGAGCCTGTCTAGGAGGTGACAGTTGTGCTTGAGTCGGGTGCACGTCAGAAGATGTCATCGTGGAGTACAGAGGTGGAGCAGGCGAGCTGCTTGAGGGGACATGTGTGACTCTACCTGGGGAGTCTTCCTCAGCATGCCCGGTTATGGAGGGTGTGGAGGGCAGGATGCCCGAGGAGAAGAGAGTGGTGGAGGACACGTTAGCAACTGTGCTACAGGGTTTGTTGGACATGTCTGGTGTCGCAAATGAAGAGGGGCTTGTAGAGAGCCTCGAGAACATGTCTGGTCAGAGGTCATAGGATGTGGTGGAGCTGGTTGAGGGGCAGGATGCAGGGATGAATATATTTATCGTGAAGGCCCTTTGGAAGTGGCTATGAAAGCAGAGGGTGGGTTGCACAAAAGGGCAGCAGTGCTGTCTGACTCTGATGACGTCCTAATCCCAGCACAGAGGCCTGGCAAGAAGGTGTGGGTGAAGGTGGCATGAGGTAGCCCTCGGGGACCCAGGGGCTCAGTGGCGGCTAAAAGAGGTCTTCGTGTAGCGGGTAGTGAACATGGTGGCAGACACTGTCAGGGGTCTATTGGCGTGTCAGTGCCAAAGGGAATTAAGTTATGGCCGGCTTGAAGTGTAAGTCAGTGAATGTAAATGGGTTGCAAAATAGAGTGAAATGTATGTGGTTCACGGATTTTCTTCGTAGGTATGGAGTGGATGTAGCTTTTGTGCAAGAGCACAATTACAAAGCCAGGTGCGAGTTGGTAATGGATGGTTTCCAGGTGTTTGTGGCGCATTCGACTCATTTGAAAAGGGGGGTCGCCATCCTGCTGTGAAAGACCAGCCCATTTGTTGTATACGACATTGAGGTGGGAGAGAGGGGCATGTTGTGCGAGTGGACAGGTTGTGGATGGTACGCTAGTGTGCGTCTATGGGGCGGCAGAGAGGGATGGGTTAGCGTATCACCTCCAGCCATTTCCCCCAGTGGCAGTCATGGGGGTGACTGGAATTGTGTGGTGCACAGGAAAGATGTGGAGCTGTGAGGGGCGGGGTTTTGCACAGAAGTACTAGGGGATCTTTTGCAGGGGGAGGAGTTGTGGGATGTGGCTAGGGAAGAAGCATGGGAGGTGGAGCACACGTTTGTGTGGGAATGGTATGCTGCTCGATTAGACCGACTGTATGTAACATGGACTGCACGAGTAGAGAGGGTGTGTGTGGTGGACGTGGCATATTCCGATCACTGGGTGGTAT